AAGATGCTGAACTGGAGAAGCTCTTAAAAACAGAAGATCACAACCACTTTCTCCAGAACTACCCCTCACTGTCAGCACTCAGTGAGTCTACACACTCATCCAGCATCAATATTCGTCCTCTGAGATACTTTGAGGATGTAACATCAGCTTTGGTGGGTCTCAGAGAGAAACTACAGGACATCCTGAGAGACACAGAGACAAACATCTCTCTGTCAATCACTGAAGTGGACGTTCTACTATCAGAACCAAAGACAAGAGCTCGATTATTAAAGTATTCAAAAGCAATTTCTCTGGATGAAAACACAGCAAACAGATGGATTTTATTATCTGAGGGGAACAAAAAAGTTCAAAGAATAAACCAGCAACAGCCTTATCCTGATCATCCAGACAGATTCACTGATTATAAACAGGTCCTGAGCAGAGAGAGTCTGACCGGCTGTTGTTACTGGGAGGTGGAGTGGAGAGGAGAGGTTGATGTAGCAGTTTCATACAAGAACATCAGCAGAGCAGGAGAGTCAGATGATTGTTTGTTTGGATTCAACAATAAATCTTGGTCTTTATATTGCAACACAAACGGTTATACATTTTGTCACAACAACATTAAAACTCCAGTATCAGGTCCAGTTTCCTCCAGAATAGGAGTGTATCTGGATCACAGAGCAGGTATTCTGTCTTTCTACAGCGTCTCTGAAACCATGACTCTCCTCCATAGAGTCCAGACCACATTCACTCAGCCTCTATATGCTGGTGTTTATGTCTATTATGGAACCTCTGCTGAGTTTGTTAATCTACAGTAAGAATTGATCTGAGGTACAGTTGGTTAAAATGTGTTTTTTAGTTACTGTTTTTTTTTTTTTGTCTCTGTTTGGTCATTAATGTTATTATTTTAAATTGTGTCACATGATGAATTTGATCTCTAAGACACTGTTAAGAGTATTTTTAAGAATGGTTGTATGCATCCAAAATGGCTTGATAACTGTGACTGCACAGTGAAGGAGTTGGTAGCACTGTTGCCTTGCAGCAAGATGGTTCTGGGTTAGTTACCTGACCTAGGGACTTTCTGTATGGAGTTTATATGTTCTCCCTTTGCATACATGGGTTCTCTCCAGGTACTCTGGCTTTATCTTAGAGTTGTTCATCTATGTTGCTTTGTCCTAGACTGTTGACCTCTCCAAGGTGTACCCTGCCTTCTGCCCACAGACCACCGGAGAAAGACACCAGCCCCACTGTGACTCTGACAGATAAGCAGGACAAGATGAACTGTTTGATAAGTGACGGAAACTTTTCTGCTTGTTTAGATCTAAATCTGTGAAATGACCAAAAATAAATCCATGATCAGTCATAATAACCTCTAACTGTTAAGCTATGTGAATCTGCCTGTTCTTCTTAGGTATGTGTAGCTCCAGTATGTTGGATGAAAGGAAATATTCTCAGTAACCTGCAGAGACCTTGATATGCAGAACTCCTGTATTAGTCAGAGCCTGATGATATCAGAATTGGGTGATTTCTCTTTGCTTCAAGTGCAGAGTCAGAGCATGCTTAAAGAACTAATGACAAGACTGACACAACCATAAACTTTTCATCCCATAAAACCTTTAAAATTGCAGCAGTTCTTGCATTTTTGCTCCAGGTTAATAAGACGGGATCTCAGCTTGTCTTTGATGATTGCTTTCATGGAGTTATTCTTTATTGGATTTACACTAGAGCGTTTAAAACAGACCAGTTTGATGAAAGGCTCCTGGCTAAAGAACAGCTGCATGTTAAGAATACGTACTTGCTATTTTATTTAGAGGTTTATATTTTGGAGCTTTATTACAAAGATCATTTAAGTATTTCAGTAAGGTTGTTTTAATGTATGCAACTGATTCTGTTTTGATTCAAAAAATAAAATTGTCATATTTATTATCTATGAAGTATGTTTGCTTTATTTCTACAGTGTCATTAAGTTCTCTGAAAGATGGTTCAGAAGGCAGAGTCTGCTCAGAGTTTAGAGAAAAGCTTTGATTATATTCCTATAAATTAGTTCAATTCAATTTCAATTCAGTTTATTTATATAGCGCCAAATTCATAACA